GAAATTTGTCCTTTCTCTCGGAACCGGAACCGGACAGGAACCATTATTTCATTTGGGTCCGGGTCCCTGATTTGTTCGCGACTTCTTAATCATAATTAAATTTTTTCTGGATCCACTTCTGGATGAAATAGTAAAATAAAACAATTCAAAAATTGTATATAATATTTATTTTATCTAGTTCTGTACAATTTTACATTTTTTAATTCAATTTGTTGCTAGAAATTAACAATAACCTCACAAAAATAGCATACAACTAAAGCCTAAATATACATATTTATAAAAATAAAAAAAAAACTGACAAAATACAACAAAAACATTGAAAAGCCTGTACCTCTATTCAAGTAAATGCTTCTATTTTAAAACTTTACTGGAAATTATATGCAAAATTACGGAAAGGCCATGTTAAATTTATTTATTTATTATTAATAACTGCCTACTACTGATTTGAACGTGATGGTTGGTCAAAAACAATCTGTTAATGGGACGTGAACTTCTTCTACCTTGTGACCTGAGGTTTGGCTGCCTGAGAAGATTACGTCAGCAATTTACGTTCCCAATTTACATCAAGAGTGCGATAAAATAAAACCTGGAGACCTAGTTTGGTTATACAACCCTCAGCATGGTCGTTGTTATTCGCCGAAGCTGCAGACTTCTTGGCAAGGATCATACGAAGTGATGGATCGCATAAATGACATCATCTAAGCATCAGGAAACAACCAAAAGGGAAGCCAAAAATGATCCATTTCAACCAATTTGCTCCTTACGCTGAAAACAATGGTGACCAACTAGATGATGCTAAGGTGAGAAGAGTTGATTAGCCGGAAGACCTTTTGAAGACTTCATGTCTCTATAGATATATTCGAGCGGTAATAAAGCTTGGTTTTGGCCGATTACTCCTTAGCCCACTGTGTTGCAGAAGATCTTAGGATGTCCAGCAGACAATAGACGCGTCTTCACCTTCCATTTGGTAACGAAGCCTCTCTTTTATTACAAGCCAAAGTACCGTAACGTATGGAATACCTTAAAAAATAAGGGATACCTTTTTGTCCACCCTGATAGCACACTTTATTCTAAGAATGTTTTTTAAACCTTCCAGTGAGAATATTCTTAGGATCATGATATATTTCTTCTAAAGAACATGCTTAAAAGACATATAGCATGATCCTAAGAATATTCTTACTGGCCTATAGGCAGGTTCTTAGAAGGTGCAAAGTTTTAGTGGTCTACTCTAAACATATGCTTAGAATGTTAAGAAAGTAATTGCTATAGAAAGTTCATTTAGGAATATTCCTGTTAAGCATATTTAGTTCAGTTACCTATATAATAGTAAAATATACCATAAACTACGTATAAAGGTATATATATATATATATATATATAACTATACTTAGGTACCTAATTAGTAATTAGTATTAAATACTAACTAAAAAACACAATCCAAATAATTTTTTTATAGTTATTTGTCAAATTAAAACAATATTTGATAACAAAAATACTTTTACTATATGTATTTTATTTTATGTTAAAAATAAATATTTATTAATTTGTATACCGATTTTTTATTTCTGAATTAACATTTTTATGTATAATAATCCTAACTATCTTTAACTTTAATCTAATCTGACTAATCTATCCCACAAAATTTTTTAAGGGGATGACAAATACATTTCACTGTCATATTATGTCAGTGAGGCGTATTTGTCGTCTCCTGAAGAATTTTATGAATGTAGTATACAACATATTAGAACGTGGGTATCTGAAATTTTTGGAAATATTCTCAAAAGCTTCCTAGAAGCTCCATAAGAAACCTTCTAAGAACATTCAAAAAACGTATTCTTAAAATGTTCTTTTAAGAAGCTTTTAAGAATCTAATTGCATCATTAAAATGGTATCTAATAAATGTTTTAAAAGTCCCTAAGAACATTCTTAGCAATAAGGGAAGGTTCTAGGAATATTTCATTATTCCGGGTCATATCCTCTTCAAGATTCTTAAAATCAAATTTTGCTATCAGGGCAAGGGCATCATGAACTTGGCGATACCAAAGCTTGCTTGTGGACTCGACTGTTTGGACTGGAAAATTATTAGAAGTATGTTGGAATCTATCTTCAGATTCTTTTTTGCTGTCACAACCCTAGAAGAACAATCAAGGTGAAGACCGGAGACTGCTTCTTCTATAGGACGTCACAATGCAAGTTTGGATACCTATGCAATATCGTCATGGGGCAGAGGATCATGTCACACTTCGGACTTTTCAGGAAAAAAATATACCCAAGGATCGAGACGTTTCCACATAATTATTAATATTTAACATGGCCCTTCAGCGCTTTCGTACAAAATACTGTTTTGGGTTAGCAAAAATATACAGAGTACGATAAAAAAATTGAATTTTGTATAACATTTTACATAAAATTTCTTTATTAATAAATAAAAAAATGTACTTCCATGTCTTGAAGGACTGTATAAAACCGTCACTTTTATATTCAATTAAAAGTTTACATAACTTTTTTAAAAAGTGCCTCATAAACTTCAATAAATTCGCTTAAACGCTTTGAAACAATTTTTTTTCCAAGATTGACCACCCTGAATAGTCGAAAGGGTTTAATTAAGGTGAGTTTGGAGGTCAAAAATCTCTGCCCCAAACACAGAAAACAACTCTTCAGGGACCCTGAGCGTTGATTGGGGAGGATGAAATCAAGTCCAATATTGTCCGTCTTGACAAAGTATTCCAAAAAACGATCGTTGGTAAGTGGTAGGTACTATTGCGGCCGATAAAAAGTAATCGACTAATTTTCCCGTTATAAATATGGCTGTCAGTGGCATTTCAAAAATAATTTTATAAAATTAAGTAACGTCATCTTAAATTAAGTAAAGTCATTATTTAATTATGCCTTTCCATTCTTTAAGTGAAGCAGAGAAAGGCTATATTATCGCCAAAATTGGAGAAGGATGGTCTCAACAACAAATAGCAGATGAAATAAACTGCAGCAAAAGCGCTATTCAAAAATTAAACAAAAAGTGGGTGGAAACTGGTGACCTGAGTAGGGTAATGGGTTCTGGGCGTCCAAGAAAGACAACTCCAGTAAACGACAACTAGTTGGTTGAATATGTGAGGCAAAACCCATTTTCTAACTCCATTCAAGCCAAAGAGGAAACCAACTTCCCAGCATCTGTTAGGACGGCAAGAAAACGGTTGCAAGAACAAGGTTTATTTAACTGCGTGAGTGCTAAAAAGCCTCGCTTGACGGATGTTAATAAAAAGGCAAGAGTGGAGTTGGCAAAGAATTTTTTAAATCAAAACGCTGAATATTGGGAGCGAGTAGTCTTTTCAGATGAAAAAATATTTCAATCCTGCTACAATGGGCAACTGCGAGTTTATCGTCCCAGAAACCATAAGTTTGATGAAGAATACCTCCACAAAACTGACAACAGCGGAAGATTTTCTGTCCACGTGTGGGCGTGGGTATCATCTTCAGGGGCATATTGTAGAAGGCCGATTAACTGGGAACCGATACGTGGAAATTTTAAACGATGTAATCCCCCGTCAGTGCAAGATTTGATAATGATTTTGTTTTTCAACACGTAACACTTTATGATTTTTCTTTCCTGATCAAAAAAATATTTTTTTTTTCATTTTAAGGATAACTCGCCAGTTCACACTGCTCATGTGGTTCATAATTGGCTAGAAGAAAATCACATTACAACGCTTCCTTGGCCGTCAAGAAGCCCCGATTTAAACCCAATCGAAAATATTTGGGGATATCTCGTAAAAAAAATATATAAATATGAATTTAGACCAAGAAATAGAGAAGACCTTATTAATGCAATTCAAAATGATTGGAACAATTTGGAAGAAAATTACGATATGCAAAATTTAATTACTTCCATGCCTAGGAGATTACAAAATGTTATAGAGAAGAATGGTGGTTCTACCAAGTATTAATTTTTTTTTTTCAAATGGAGTTTTTATAGCATTACAAATGTGTAAGATTATGTAAGATAATGCCCGAGGGAGGGCTGAATGAAAAAATTACCAGGGCCGGTTTTTCTGAGCCCATCCAACCCTGGTTGGCTCATCTTTTATAATTGTTATAGTCGTAGTATACTATTTCTTTTTAAGTTTAAATTTATTTATTTTGGTCGCCCAATAAATAATTTGTTCTTTTTGTTTGTATTACGAATAAACATGCTTTATATAATTCAAGTTTTTTTTATTAAAAAATTAAATATGTCATACACCTATGATTTCTTGTCAAAATAATTTAATTGACATGACTGACGTAAAAAACCCTACTTACAATAGCCAATTTTTAAGAAAAACATGCAACTTGATAAAGAATCGATTACTTTTTATCGGCCGCAATAGTACCAATGATTTTTGCATTGCAGTCTACAAAAACAATTTCAGTTTTGCCAGTTGCTGTAAATGGTATTTAGGACGACATTTTTATTTAAAAATTGTTTTAAGACTAAATAATAATTTAGATGACCCTGGTATAAAAAAAACAATTTTGCAAATAACGGAAACCTTAATTTGTAAATAGGGATAGAGCAATGTTGTACAGCTAAAATGTAATACAAAATTCCGGGAACTTGCATCGCACCCAGTGTTGACAATGTTAATGAAATTTTTTATTTTGGTTCTTATTTATTTATATATTTTTAAGGTAAACGTATGTATAAATCAAAAAAGGATAAACTTTGATAAACACGTATTTTAGTTTATATTATAAACCTTTAGAATATTGTTTAAGGCATTGTACTTGTATTTTAAGTGTTCCAGTTTTTCCCAATTTGACTTTTTGGTAATAATATAATATATCACGAAATATAACAATATATTCTGTGCGTGAGTGGGTAAACATTAAATATATGCCAACATTTATTAAAACTCTTTTTTTGTATATTATGTTAAATGAAAAAATCGTCTTAGAGACAAATTTCTCATTCCACATGACATATGCAGTGTAGTATAACACTAGTCAACAGCAATTTGTATCCCGGACATTTAACAGGCAATTCCTGAAATTGTCCGCTGAGTCCAAAAAAATACTTTCATAACTTTTGACTAGTATACTCCGAGACCAATTTAGTCAGTACTTTCGTCATCATCCATAATAGCGTTCCTGTCGTTTGAAGAATGCCTTCTTCTCGTCACCAAGCCTCTAATGTTTGTTCTGGTGGTGGCCCCCCATTTTTCTTTAACAGCCTCTGATGAAGTCATTAATATTGAATACGACGAGGTGTTCTCACCTTCAACACTGTGGTGGATACCGTATAAAAAGTAAACCAACATACCTACGATAACAGCAATTTAGTTGGTTGGTAAACGATAATTTAAAATTATTACCCATAATCATCCAGACGAAAAATCGTAACCATGTAAGCACATTAAGGTGCACCATGAACTCTATATTGCAGAGAATACTAAGAGCTGGTATGAACGGCACCATGGGCACTTTAAATCTCAACCCAGCGTTGTTTTGATGGTGGGCCACTATGACCAACATACCTGCAAAACTTTATTTGCACATGCACCAGAATAATGTTTAAAACACTTACACCCGCCCATGATGAGAATGAAGAAGGCAGCCATGCCGACAGTCCACCAAATACCATTGCTTAAATCACCGCTCGACACTTGGAACAGAATGCAAAGGGCAGAGCTGAACACAGTATAAACAAAAACACAAGCCGTCACGACAGAACCCGGCTCGCACCCCCCGAAAAGCGGTGCCATCCAGCCGTACTGAACCCTTAGAGTCCCAGTGAGGTTAATGCATTCCGACGCAGGCGTGGTCAGCTCTGAAGCTGTGTCCGACTGAGATATCTCAGAACCTGGAGTTGTGACGGGTTTCGGGAGCGTTGACTCGAACGACGGTCTATATCTCAGGATAATCACAGAGGCACTCACTATAGTGTAAGCCAGAAGAGTCCCTATGGACATAAACTCCACCAACTTCTCTAGATCGAATAGAAGCGCGATTATCGCCGAAGCTACACCAGATATAACCAAGTTGGTGAGAGGAAGCTGTGTTTTGGAGTTTACCTTGCCCATGAAAGCGAACAGCAACCCATCCTGCGCCATGGCGTACATACACCTCGGCAACGAGAAAAGAGATCCGAATAACGTGGTGGTCATTCCGCAAATCGCGCCCAGAGATACGACGTATCTAACCCAGTGCATGCCTACATTCGCGAAAGCATCGGGCAAGGCCGCGGTCTCGTTTATCTCGTAGTACGGCACCAACAAGGTCAAAGCAGCCGCTACGAGGATGTAGCCCAGCGTTACGATGCCCATTGATATTACGGTGGCCATGGGTATGCTGTACGAGGGGTTGCGTGCCTCCTCGCCGGATGTAGCGATGCTGTCGAAGCCCACGAACGCGTAAAAGCAAGTCGCCGCGCCGGCGATCACCCCCCCGAAGCCGTAGGGCAGAAATCCCCCCTTTTGGGCCGTCCAGTTGTCTTCGTTTGCGTACATGAAGCCTGCAATATAAGTATTATAATCATTATGTTTCTACTGCTACTTAATTATCTCTGACGTAATTGGCCCTTTTTTAAATTGTACACGGTGTGTACAGTACACCCCTTGTTTTTTGTTATTCTACATAGAGCAAGTGTCGATATATGGAAGGTTCTTATTTAATCTTTCTTTGTTAGCATATAATTTAAAACAAATTCACTACTGGATGTAAAAACTTTTAGTTGAGCGTTAAGTGAAGTGTCTGTCTCTTAAGCGTTCTCCAAATACTTCGTATTTAAATATGGGCCATTTAACGTAAACACAGAAAATTAAAGTTTTAATTCTCATAGGATGAGGCATTAAAACTAGAACACAACAAGAAGTTTGCAATTTATTTAATGCAAAGTATCCAGCTCGACCTATTACTCGCGCTACGGTTAGTAAAATTGAACGGAAATTCATAGAGACTGGACATGTCAAAGATATTCCAAAACCTGTTAGTTACGTGTGGAAGAAGATCCTCACAGTGCTTCTAGCCTAGTCGCAGTTGAAAGTCAAGTCAGCCAATGCTCAGTATTACGTCCCATGAAGAAAGAAAAGTACCATCCATACAAAATTAGACTAGTGCAGGAACTTAACGAAGATGATCCGGACCGTAGACTACAATTTTGTGAAACTATGATGAATTTATGTAACAATAATCCGCACTTTCCTTGTAAAATACTTTTTTCGGACGAAGCTACCTTCTGTTTGAATTGTACAGTCAACCGTCAAAATTGTAGGTACTGAAGCAGAAAAAATCCTCATTGGGTAGTAGAGGGTAATTCCCAATACCGGCAAAAAGTGAATGTCTGGACCGGAATGGTGGAAAATCGGATCATAGGTTGACGAGAATATAACAGGACAAACGTATTTGGAATTTTTACAAAACTCTCTTCTTCCCACATTAGCAGAAATGTTTCCCAATGAAAATGGAGGTCCCGGTCTTCCAATTAATACCATTTGGTTTTAACAGGACGGGGCACCTCCGCACTATGCGCGTCCTGCCCATACTTTTACTACGTACGGAAATGACATAATAAACTGATACTTACCTACAACTATTACCAAGGCCATAACCCCCAAATTGATTAAAGTAAGCAAGCTATTAACAATAGCAGATCCTTTGACTCCGATGCCCAGTAAAAGAGCATACACTAAGCATACAGTAAAGGCCAAAATATCAGGGTATTTCCCTAAAAGTTGCTCATGCATTTCCCCTGTTAAAGACATCGTGGTATTGCTAATAACACCGCCAAAAAGCGAGTCTACATAGCCACTCCAAGCCCTTGCTACAGAGGCAGCACCTAAAAAAAATCAATCAATGTATCGTTAAAATGGTTAATTAAGCCTGTTTCATGCCTATCATATGTTCCAGTAGAATATTCCACCCTATAACGAAAGCCCAAAACTCTCCGATGCTAATGTAAGTGTAAACATATGCAGACCCTGCTTTTGGTACCCTAGTGCCAAATTCAGCGTAGCATAGAGCCGACATCAGACAAGCAAGGCCTGCTAGCATGAAGGATAATATTATGCCAGGACCTGCTATATCCTTTGTCACTGTTCCTGTAAGGACGTATATGCCTGCTCCAACCATATGTCCAACACCTAAAAAGGAAAAAACATTTTTATGGGAATCAAAAATCCTCCTGTTTGCAAAACGGGCAATGCAACCGTGGTTGCCTATAATAGAAACTCTACCTGCAGGTTTTTAAGAGTTGGACAGTTTAATAATAAAATAATCCTAACGCTTATAAGTAATGGTATTTTAAAAAACAGTATATTATCATTAATTAAAAATATCATACATTGGTAAGGGAAAAATCAAAATCTTGTTTTATTATACTTCCGTTATAATTTAGTGTTTAATAAATAACACATTTTATCAGATTATCCAAATTTATGTCGGATTATACACAATGTAAAATCGATATTTATTTTACTGGTATTTTATTTTAGCACATTTTTATGTCATTAACCTTTGTAAATGCAATAAAATTTAAAGATTTTTTGTTTTTATTTTTGGTTAGTTCTTTTTCAAACCTCTATTCATCATTTTCAAATTAAAGTTTAAGACAAAAATTATTAAAGAAATTATTTGGGGGAGGTCATTTTTTCAATATTGTAGTTTGCCTGTGCAAGGCTTTATAAAAATTAAAATAACAAAACTTCTACGAAAGCGCGAGTAAAAATTTTCTCATCATTGTAAAAATAAAAAAACAGACACTGGAAAAATATATTTTTGTCTTATAGTTTTTCAAAATTGCGAAATAAAGTCCAATAACATAAACTTGGTATATTGATAACTTAAATTTGGCCAAATATCAAATATATGGGTCATTCCATTTAAAAGTTTAAATAATTTTTACATTTGGTATTAATTTACATGAAGGGCACTTTATTTTAACAATTGTATGACAATTAAGAACTGTCAATTAACTTAAAGCTAACTTAAGCCCGTGACTAAAAACCTATTGCCAACTTCAGCCCGTGACTAAAGCGCGATAAAGACGATGTGTAGTACACATTGTGTACCTATTCAAAAGAAGTAGAAAAAAATGTTTTTTTACAAATAAAAAAATCCCATATTTTCTTACCCAACAAAGTGATGTCGAATGTATTTAGGCATCGATTAAGTTTGGTTTCCATTACGTCAGATGGCAGTTGTTTGGTTCTATTCATTTTCGTACATATCCCTGACATGACGTGTTTCAAAATCATTTTCCTAGAGCCTGGCATTTTGATTGATTACTCTGTGTAAATATAAAGGGTCCAATTAATTCACCAAAAAATAATTTTGAACTATTTACTATGTGAACATGAAAATTGTATAAGAATATTTATAATTTTAAGTTATAAATAAAAAATGCAATAAATAATAATACAAATTAAATACAGGATATTAATAAATATGTATGTGCATCCGTTCAATGCTTAACCTTAAAGTAAGATAATGATAAAAATCGCATTTCTATTTATAAAATCTCTGTAAGGATGGCAAAATAAATGTTGGTAATTTATTATTAAATTTAAGAAAAGTACGTAGGAAATCTACTTAAATATGTTTAGCATGATTAAATGGCAATTACAAGAAGAAATCACTTACCTTTTAATGAAAATAAATGAAACCTCTGAACTTCAAACAAAAACTGAAACAAAAGTTGTAAAAGGTTGTGCTTTTTTTGTGCAATATGTTTCAGAACAGTGTTTCAGGATTTGGGACATGACATGCTGAAAGCCAACTGAAAATGCGCGCGACCGCTGAAAAATCGATGCGCATCTCAGTGACGTACGACAACACCAACGTACCAAAGTTTTCGTTATTTTTAAAGGAATTTTTTTATAAAGATATGCCTGGTTTCTTTTATTATTGGGTTTTTAATTAACTACAGAGGGGTAAGCAACTTTTCTCGAATTCAATTTTTTTTTAAATACCCAAATAGGTTTAAAGGAAAATAAAACCACAAAAAACTATTCAGCATTATTTTATTCAATTATTATATTTAAAAAAATATTTTTGATAAAAAAATTTGAAAGAGTTTCTATAAAACATGCAAGATAAAATACTTTTGATTAGGCCTTAATAATATCATTATAATATCAATTAAAATGACTTTAAACTTCAATGCTAACTAGTTCATCAAAATTAGGGAAAAATTCGATTTCCACATCCACATCTTTTGTAGGTGGGCCATTTGGGTAAAAACTCTTTAATAAATCATTAGGTTTTTCCTACAAAATTTTGTTTTAAATCATGGTTTTACATTTAGGGACTTACTTACCCTTTTTTCCCTGACATGCTCAAAATTATAGCCCTTATAAAGGGCTATGGTCTGTAAGGTTCGCAGAGATCTCAACCTCCTTGTGGGCTCGATTTCCAAAAGCCTCAATAAAAGATCTTTGCAGGGAACATTTAATTCGACGCTTGTGGGTAGTGTACCGGGTTTTTGACCGCAGTATGTGTGGTTTTCATGGTCCACGGCCGGTGCTGGGTACTATAAAAATAAACCCTTATTTAATGCTGTCAGTATGATAAAATTGTGATTTGGTGTTGATAGATTAAGTAGTTGTAGTAATGTTACATTGGACTGTCGTCATCTTGGTTTTCTTGATTTTCACATTTCGATTGGTTGTTTCCAATCGTCTTCAGGTGAAATAAAAGTTTCGAAATATTTCACCATTATCACCTGAAGACGATTGGAGACAACCAATCGAAACGTTGTGGAAATCAAGAAAACCAAGATGACGACAGTCCAATGTAACAATACTATGAGAAAATTGGTTCTAAATTTACTCAAATTAATATTAATATACATAACAAATTCATTAAAAAATGTGCCTCTTTTTCTTAATTCATTTTTCACGATTTTGATTTTTCCAGTGTTCTAAATTTTGTGGTCTGTTGATGTAGACCTTTGATTTAAAGTAGCCCCATAAGAATTAATCGAGAGGACCTATGATCCGATTTTCCACCATTTCTGCCCAGACATTCAGTTTTTGCCGGTATTGGCCAATAGTTAGCTTTGTCCGAAAAAAGTATTTTACGAGGAAAGTGTGGATTATTGTTACATAAATTCATCATAGTTTCACAAAATTGTAGTCTACTGTCCGGATCATCTTCGTTAAGTTCCTGCACTAGTCTAATTTTGTATGGATGGTATTTTTCTTTCTTTATAAGACGCAATACTGAGCGTTGACTGACTTTCAGCCATGTATATGTATATTAAAACACTTGACCTAAGAATGTAAAAAGAAAAACGAACGTTCAAACATTAATCTGAAATGCCGTTAGACATTTTACTATGTCCATTAGATGCTAAAAATAGAATTGCACTCAAATGATTACGCTGTATTCGTTATTTATTACTTTTAATTATGTATAGTTTAAATTTGTAGTTTTATATTTATTCTTTGTAAGACACAATTTATAACATTTTTGATTTGACTAAAAGATAATCATGTCATAATTACTAATGGATCAATTTATCGATATAAAAAATGTGTGTTAACACTGTGATTCAGTCTTTATCGGAAATATCCTCAGGCTTAAAAACCGTTGTTTCAATCAAGCAAATATGCATAAATTGTACTCGGGTGTGTAGAGCCTGCAGGCCTAAAAAAACAGTTTTTCGAAAAATGATAAATGAAAGAATCGTATGTTAAATTTATTGCACATACTTCAATTACACCCTGTATAAATACCAGTAAAAGTACAAAAAACATTTTAACACCCTGTATCTTGAAAACAAATTACGTTTCTTCGTATGTTTATGATTTCCAGCATTTTTATTTGTAATAATGTACAGTTTTAACATCCGATCATTACTTAAACAAATCTTTCCCACAATGTATTATTTGCTCTGATAAATAAAAGATTGTTTATTTCTTTGGTTTTTCTTTAAGGCGGTTATTACATGTGCAATTGCAAAATGTATTCCAGCAAACCAATATTTACTGTCTGTTTTGAAAAGCAGTGGTAACTTTTTTAGATTATCAACACACACAGTCGGAGCAAAAAGTTAACGTTAGAGAATATACAGTGACCGGCAACAACTCGTGAGATTTTGCTCATTTTGATGTAAAATTTTCAAATTTGCTGCCTGTTTTGTAGAAGACGTCATCGGCCGTTTTTTTAATTGTTTTTTTAATTGTATTGCAGATTCCTTTTGGGATGATAGTTTTGGGTATTATTAAATTTAAAAGTTCGTGATATAAAAATTTTTACCAAAAAAATATCTTCATGAAAATTATTTTGAAAAGGCTTTTAATGGATACGTTAACCAATTAAATGTTCGAATTGCTCCCCGTTTGTTTCTTGACAGTAAGCAAGCCTATCCGAAAATTATCTGAGAAAGTTTTGGATGACTTCTGCACTAATAAAGCGACATTCTTCACGAATTTGATTTTTCAAGTCTTTTCCAAATTTTTTTGGTCTGTTGATGTAGACCTTTGATTTAAAATAATCGAAAGAGGTGAGATCTGGAGATGTCGCTGGCCACTCTATCGGACACGTGTACAAAAAAGTACGGACAAGACGCGCATAGTGCGGAGGTAGATCGGGACCTCCATTCTCATTGGGAAACATTTCTGCTAGTGTGGAAAGAAGAGAGTTTGGCAAAAATTCCAAAACCGTTTGTCCTGTCATTTTCTCGCCAAAGAAGAAAGGACCTATGATTCGATTTTCCACCATTCCTGCCCAGAAATTCACTTTTTGGTATCTCACGTTATTGGCAATTTGCCTCTACTACCCAATAAGGATTTTCTCTCCTCCAGTATCTACAATTTTGACCGTTGACTGAACCTTTCAAACTGAAAAACTTATTTCACGAGGAAAGTGTGGATTATTGTCACATAAATTCATCATAGTTTCACAAAATTGTAGTCTACAGTCCGGATCATCTTCGTTAAGTTCCTGAACTAGTCTAATTTTGTGTTGATGGTACTTTTCTTTCTTCATAAGAGGTAATACTGAGCATTGGCTGACTTGACTTTCAGCTGCGACTAGGCTAGAAGCACTGTGAGGATCTTCTTCCACATGTAACAAAATGTCAATTTTAGTGACTTCACTAATACTCAGACGGCCAGGTTTTGGCATATCTTTGACATGTCCAGTCTCTCTGAATTTCCGTTCAATTTTACTTTGAATTAAATAAATTGAGGCGTTTCTCGGAAAAACATCATTAGTCTAATATCGTCGAAATTTAGATATTAGCACCAACTGTTTCCTAACCTCCATATATACGTATACAAATAAGTGTTTCTCGTAAAAATGTCATAGGTTCCATAATAATTAAATATGAAATTTAGCTTGTTCTTCTAAAAACATCACAAGTCCACTCAGTTTCGTCTAAGATAGTCACATGTGCATAACATGTGACGTTTTTGGACACTCTAGAAAAGCTTCTACCTCTTTTACGTGACCACAGCAATAGAAAATTTTATGATAACTTGATAAAAGACCAGAAGACCATAGCACCTGAGAGTCCTGATAACACGGTCGACAACGATGATAACAGCAGTGGATGCGAAGACTGAGTGTGGCAGTAATACAGTTTTTAGTTTTTTCATTTATTTTGTTACTCAGAGTTAATATTAAGTTTGTAGTGTTTGTAGTAAGGAGAATTGTTCGTTTTTTTCTTCTAAAAACCTCACATGTTCATGTAATTTTTGTGTTTTTTTCATATTCGTTTGAAAAAAAAAACATGAGGAATTCTGGACAAAGTATCTTACATTTTTTTACATGTAGTAAATAGGTCAATAAAGTACTTTGGTCAAAAATGGGAATGTCGGAGAGTTTTTTTCATTTTCCCAAATATGTTAATTTTGGACTAATGATGTTTTTCCGAGAAACGCGTCAATTGCAAACTCTTTGTTGTGTTTTAGTTTTGTTGCCACATCCTATGAGAATTACAACTTCATTTCTCTGTTTTCTTTAAAAGGCCTATATTTAAATACTTCCAAATATTTGGACAACGCTTAAGAGCTTAACGGGCTAAAAGTGTGAAAATGTGAAAAACCCTGTATACATTAAGATATATTTTGAAATTAAAATTATAAAAAAAATTTTACGTAGGCCAAATATGAACAAATTTCAAAATTTCACATTTGTCATTGTCTTCACATAAAATGCTCTATATTCCGACCTGTGTTAGCAGTTAGCAACCACCGTCGGTTAATAGTCGAAAAATTGAAACGATCTTGAATAAATGCATGCACAAGTCCACTTAAAAGAAGAGGAAGGTAATAATTGGTCTGTGTAAATGCATTGAGAGACGAATCCTTGATGTTATTACACATTTTATCTTTTAACTGCCAAACCATGACCAGGGGCGTGTCAATCTCTATTTTGCAGGACGTAACCACTTGTGAGAGCAAGTGGTCTGCAGCCTTATAAGGTTAAGTTAGCTCAGGTCATGGAGCGGATTTAAAATATTAAATTTTTAGTTTAATATGTTTTTTACCCCCAACTTTAAAACGCCCATTATCATAACATGTTTCCATGACCTTTTAAATACAAATACACATTTGACATTTGACATTATTAGGCATTAAGTTGGTTACTCTATTGTTTTATAGATGTCGCTCTATACAAATATTTAATTGAAATCATTTTTAGATCAGTATTATACTATTAAATAGTTTACAATGCATATAAAATAAATGTCTTTAGCAAAATGAGTAATTTTTTTAATAATCCTTAAAAAAATAAAAATGCCTCTCTTTGGTTTTGACCTATATGCTTGTAGGTTATTTATAAAAGTTTTGGCGGTCAACGTACCTTCCTGTACTATAGAACTGGACAGTTAAAGTCAATTTAGCTTGTGCAGTTATTAATTATTTTTGAGAGCCAAAGCACAGCTACATATAATAATTTTACAGTTACGATGCACTATAGTAGGAACACCTTTCTAAGTTTATTTATTTATTGCCTAATGCTGTTACCAGTGAATGCCCAGCAAAACTGCTCTTTCTTCTTCTTCATATTGCACTGTAATGTTCTATAGGAAATCAAATCTCACTATATTAAATATATTTTATGTAGGTACAGTGACCGACAAAAGTATGCCTTTTTCCTTGAACGATTTTGCTTTTTATGAATTCAGCAATATGTATACCTACCTTTTGGGATGATAGTTTTGGGCATTATTAAATTTAAAAAATATTTTTTAACTTCATGACAATTATTTTAAAAAATACTTTTAATGGACACATTAACCAATTAAATGTTCGTTGGTTTCTTGACAGTAAGCAAGCGAAAATTCTCTGAGAACATTTGGATGACTTCCGCAATAAAAAGCGACATTCTTCTAAATTTTGTGGTCTGTTGATGTAAACCTTTGATTTAAGGTATCCCATAAGAAATAATCAAGAGGGGTGAGATCTGGAGATCTCGCTGGCCACTCTATCGGTCCTCGTCTGCCAATCCACCTTTTAGGAAAACATGTGCCAAAAAAGTACGGACAGGACGCGCATAGTGCGGAGGTGCCCCGTCCTG